GTGTGTGTGTGTGTGTGTGTGTGTGTGTGTGTGTGTGTGTGCCTGCCCAACCCAACAACCAAAAAAATTTTGCCCGCAGGTTTCCCGGTTAAGTGGCACCTCAGGACCGAAGTACCAACCTTTGAGCACGTCTGAGCCCTGAGCACGAGCACGTGAAAGTTTTGGCAAGAAAACTGCTAACTCGGGAACCAGAAAAGCTGAAGTACTGAAATTTTAAACGGATGTACCTCATGCAATTTAACGATTTCAGATTCAGCCCTCAGGCGCGCGTGATTCTTTATCACAGGCATGCAAAAGTTTTGACGGAAAAATTGCTAGCTCGGGAACCAGAAAGGCTGGAAGGCTTAAGTTTCAAGGAAATGTTCTCTGTGCAAATACAACTTCAAGACTAAAATTCAGCTTCCGGGTATGCGTGGTTCGCACATGTGGGTATGTAAAAGTTTCGGCGGGGGAACTGCTCAAAGAAATGCCTGGTCATTTTCAATGAGCGGCTGTTCAGGGCAAATTTTTTCTTTTCCTTTATGCAAAATTTACGCCGACTTATGCTAATGAGTACACAAATTAAATACAATCAACAACCACTCATACGTTAACGATCTGGTTGCTCCAAGTTACCCGGCAATTCTAGTGTGTTCCAGCACGCGGACTTTTCTCAAAAGCAAAAAAAAACAATGAGGGAAGTGGCCCGTGACAGCCGGAGGCTCAGCACAGCAACACACAAAGGGCATGACTCACCAGCTTCACAGAGCAGATTGTCGCCGTTGCATTCGACCAGCTCCATGTCCAGATCGCTCAGTCCGGCAACGCTGTTCGAGCAATCCGAACTGTCGCAATCACAAGAGGTCATCTGCAATGCATGTTAATCAAAAAATAACACAGAAAATCCCAGCTGGCACACGCACACAGGATGCGAACAGGGCCCGGCCTGTCCGAGGTGGGGGTCTCCTGCAAGCAACGAGATGCCCAAATAGGCTGGGCGCAGCTATGCCTAGCTCCAGCTGGTGCCCACCGCTTGCCTGATTATATACGTGCGCCACCTCTTCGGAAACAGCCAATTACTTTTTCACACTGACACCCACGGGTTCCTGGTGTGGAAATGGCCACAGACTTGGAAATTTTGAGAGACAGCGCAGTGGAAGTTACAGCAGCTCAAAAAGAAGATACCGCGTCGCACAGCTAAGCTCGACTGCTACGGCCCACAGAGCCTTGAAAGGTGCTTTGCTGTCGAGCAGCAGCAGCAGCAGCCTACGTTCGCTTCCTTGGCAATTTCCACACACTGCCCATCTCCGTAGCACAGCAGTCAGCTCTGTGTCATCGAGTGCTTCCCCCCCCCTCCCCCCCCGATCAGAGGGCGCAAGAAAAAGGAAACTGATTTCCCTTTTCACGTCCCAACACCTGCTAAGAGCGCAAATGTAGACCACCAGTGCTTTAATCATTTCGCGACACACTTTGCCACCCTCCCCCTCCCCTCCCTCATGCTTCTCATCGAGACTCCCCTCGCCCCTTCTCCTAACAGAAACAACACAACCGACCTACAACCACAACCAAAACAAATCCAAATGCGCGCAACACGAGCAGCTGCGAAAAATGACACGACGGCCTATGCAACCGTTAAATCCTACTGCGCGTGACATTTGTGTTTCAGTGCACTTTTTATACCGCATATTGTCGAGAGGTTGTCTGTGTGTGTCCGCAGCAACTTGTCCGCAACTTTCAACTCGGGGACCACAACAACTAGGAAGCCGGTAATTTAGGGGAACGATTCTCACCCACGCGTGACGTCGTAAATTTAAGCTAGAAAGTTGAAGTTTTAAGTGAATGTTCCCAGTTCACATACAACTGAAATTTATTAAATTCAGCCTCCAGACATGCGTGGCTCTCACATACGGCCTCGTGAAAATTTACGACGGGAAAATGGCTAATTCGGGAACCAGAAAAGCTGAGAAGCTGAAATTTTGATGGAATGTCCCTTGTCCAAGTACCGCGCACTAACTTTCCGAGCTTCGAGCACTAGTATTTCACACATTCTAGCTAGTGGGTTTTCGAGCGCCTCTCATTTCAGCACGAAATACTGCAAAAACACATGACCGCACGGGCCCGCCTGGTGCTCGTCGCCAATGATTATGCGTTTTTGCCCAAATTGCAAAAACGCATATTGGGACGACCCTGTCTGTGCGTGTGTGTATGTGTGTATGTGTGTGTGTGTTTGTATGTTTGTGTGTGTGTGTGTGTGTGTGTTCGTCTGTCCGGGTATTTCAATTCGGCAACCAAGCAAGTTTTAGCGTTTTAGCGCCGAGATTTTGCTATTGGGTACCCTGGCCAAGTACCACCCCAGAACCGCGGTACCATCCCCCACGCACGTCTGGGCCCCGCGTACGAGGGGTTGAAAGCTTTGGCGGGGAAATTCATAACTCGGGAACGGGAAAAGATAGGAGGCTGAAACTTTGGGAATATGTGCCCATACCGTGCGCGACCCTCCCATTTTAATATCATCTCCCGCGGACGCCTGGGCGCCGTGTACGGGCCCCTTAAAAAATATGCAAATTTTTTGACGGGAGGGCGATCTCGGGAACCACACGAGCTAAGGGGCTGAAAATTTGTGGGGATATTCCCTGTGCATGTACTTGCTAAGGATTTCAAATTCAGCCCCCACGTATGCGTGGTACCACGTAAGAGCGTGTGAAAGTTTTTGGGGGAAAATTGCTAACTCGACAACCAGGAAAGCTGGAAGGCTGAAATTTTCAGG